AAAAAAAGAAAAAAAAACAGAACAAAGAAAATAATAATATTTTATTTAAATATTTATCAAACAAGTATTTTAATGTTTTAATAAAAAATAATTACTGCAACTAATGACAAAAATAATTTATAATTATTAATTTTTAGAAATAATATTAATAAAAAAATTAATTTATTATTGGTATTTTTACCTCCTCTTTAAAAAAAGAAAATCGTTCTTACTACTATTAATATAGTTATTGTTATTATTATTATCTGTCTAAATTTTTATTAGTAAAAATATTTACTAATTTAATTACTTTTTGCTTTTGAATTAGTAAATTTTACTAATGAATTAGCAGAAATTACTAATTATTAGTAAAATTTACTAATTGACTGACTTTTTGCTTTTGAATTACTGAATTCTGCTAATAAATTAATAAAAACTTCTATTTATTAGTAAAAATAACTATTTATTAGTAAAATTTACTTTCTTTAGTATTTAAATATTTTTTGGTCTGTAAATTTTGTTTGTAAATAAAAGTAATAAATTTTAATAAAAAATTACTAGAAACTGCTATTTATTAGTAAAATTTACTAATTGACTGACTTTTTGCTTTTGAATTAGTAAATTTTACTAATAAATTTGTAGAAATTACAATTTAACAGTAAAATTTACCTTTTTTAGTATTAGTAAATTTTACTAATAAATTCTTTGAAATTACCTACTACCTATTTATTATTAAAATTTTCTTTTTTTTCGTCTATATATTTTGTTTGTAAATAAAATTAATAAATTAGTACAAACTGCTATTTATTAGTAAAATTTACTAATTGACTGCCTTCTTGCTTTTTAATTAGTGAATTTTACTAAGATATTAGTAAAATTACTCTTTATTACTAAAATTTACGTTTTTAAGTATTTAAAGTTTTTTTGGTCTATAAATTTATTTTGTAAATAAAATTCGTAAATTTGACTAATAAATTAGTAAAAATGACTATTTATTAATAAAATTTACTAACTGACTGACTTTTTGCTTTTGAATTAGTAAATTTTACTAATAAATTAGTAGAAACTGCTATTTATTAGTAAAATTTACTTTTTTAGTATATAAAATTTTTTTTCGTCTTTAAATTCAGTTTGTAAATAAAAGTAGTAAATTTTACTAATAAATTCTTAGAAATTACTATTTTTATTTCTATTACTATATATTTATTATTATTTTGAACTCAGAAAATGAAATCAAAATTTTATAAAATACGTCTATGAACTTTACTATTTTGCATTTTTCATTTCATGGTTTTAGCGAAGGCCTTTACTGTTTATTCATTTGTCGGTTGACCCTGACTTGTAATTGAAGGAGCGAGTGCAAGAACCAATTAACACATTCTCAACACACCAGTTACTATATAATGGCGCCTCTCAAAGTCTTAAATAATGTTTATTTCGAAAAAATTACATTTATTCTAAAATTTTTTATTTACTTTCAATTAAAAAAAAATTTTTTTTTATTCTTTGTCTATACAAATTTAGAAATATAATATATTTACATTTAAAATCAAAACAAATTAAATATAATATGAAAAGAAGTAAAAATAGAAAATAGATATGTTCCTGAATTAAGCGTCGCGTCGACAAAAAAAATTTCCAAAAAAATATAATAAATTTAAAAAATATAGAAAAAGAAAAATTTTCGATAAATTTTTTTTTTGTTTTAATTTCCATTAATAATGATAAATTTCCATTTATGACTTCACGTAATAAATTGAATCGTGTCAGGAGTTCTACAGATGAATTTTTTTTTTCATCTATCCTTCTATGAAACTATGCAACGTGCAGATCTAATAATTATTGTAAGCCTCTGTTTAAAGAGGGGTTAATAGTGAACTATGCGTTCGCAGTAAATAGCATAAAGTCTAGTATACTTTCACATATATTGAGAGTGACAACCTCCTCGTCGATATGCACACAACATATATACATATGATGTCAACCAGGAGTCACATACAATGTCTAAACACATTTTTTTAATGTCCCAACGAGATAAAGTATCGCCTCCATGGTCGATTATATATATGAGACCAATCAAGTTTTATAAGAAATCCAGTTTGACTGGTAGACAACAAATGCTACACGTATATTATACAAAGTAATATCAAATTTTATACTATATATATATACAATATAGTATATTGTATTATTATTTATAATATATAATAATAATAATCTCTATATTTCAATCAATAAAAAATCATAGTTTTAACTGTCAATCAGGTGACTGACTCTCTAAATTTTAATTAGTAAATTTGACTAATAAATTAGTAGAAATAACAATTATTGGTAAAATTCACTAATTCAATAGCAAAAAGGCAGTCAATTAGTAAATTTTACTACTAAATAGTAATTTCTCTTACTAAATTCTTAGTAAAATTTACTTACTTTATTTACAGACTAAATTTATAGACGAAAAGAAATTTTAAATATTAAAAAAAAGTAAACATTACTAATAAATAGTAATTTCTACTAATTTATTAGCAAAATTCACTAATTAAAAAGCAAAAATTTAGTAAATTAGTCAATTTTACTAATAAATAGTAATTACTACTAATTTATTAGTAAAATTTACTAATTTTATTTAAAAACGAAATTTACAGACCAAAAAGAATTTAAATACTAAAAAACGTAAATTTGACTAGTAAAGAGTAATTTTACTAATTTATTAGTAAAATTCACTAATTCGAAAGCCAAAAGTCAGTCAATTAATAAATTTGATTAATAAATTAAGATAAATTACTATTTATTCGTAAAATTTATTAAATGATTGACTTGTTTCTTTCGAATTAGTAAATTTAACTAATAAATTAGTAGAAATAACAATTTCATAGCAAAATTTACTAATTCAAAAGCAAAAAGTCAGTCAATTAGTAAATTTTACTAAAAAATAGTAATTTCTACTAATTTATTAGTCAAATTTACAAATTTTATTTACAAACTAAATTTAAAGACCAAAAAAAATTTAAATACTAAAAAACGTAAATTTTAATAATAAAGAGTAATTTTACTAATTTATTAGTAAAATTCACTAATTTAAAAGCAAAAAGTCATTCAATTAGTAAATTTTACTAATAAATTAGTAGAAATTATTATTTATTCGTAAAATTTACTAATCGACTAACTTGTTGCTTTTGAATTAGTAAATTTGACTAATAAATTAGTAGAAATAACAATTTCATATACTAATGCAAAAGCAACAAGTTAGTCAATTAGTAAATTTATAGACCAAAAAGAATTAAAATACTAAGAAACTTAAATTTTACTAATAAAGAGTAATTTTACTAATAAAGAGTAATAAAGACTAATTTATTAGTAAAATTTACTAATTCAAAAGCAAAAATTCATTCAATTAGTAAATGTTACTAATAAATTAGTAGAAATTACTATTTATTTGTGAATTTAAAAATTTTCTAATTTAATTTTTTGTTGAAAACTCAAAAAAAAATTCAATTTTGGTGAAATTACAAATGATTGCAGAAATTCAATTATTTTCAAAAAAAAAATAAAATTCTTATTATAAAATTCAACTTTGTTCAAAATTTGAAAAAAATTCTCGTAAAAATCCCAATTATCTTTATAAATAACAAAATTCTTCTCCAAAATTCAATTATTTTCATAAATGTCAAAAAAATTCTTGTCCTAATTTCAATTATTTTCAAAAAATTCTCTAATTTCAATTGATTTTCAATATCTACTATTTTAATAAAATTTCCCAAAAAGAATTCAATTATTTAAAAAAAATTTCAATAAAATTGTATGCAAACATTTCATTATTTTCATAAATAATAAAAATTTCACAGAAATTCAATTATTTTTATAAATAATAAAATTTTTTTAAGGAATTTAATTATTTTCATAAAAAATAATTTAAAATTCTAGAAAATAATAATTTAATTAAAATGATGAAAATAATTTTGATGAAGTTACAGTATCAATATTCTTATAATATAAAATAATGATTTTATCTCTCGGTCATCTTTATTTATTAGAAAACATGAAGAAATCGATCACTCCGAGTCTTCGACTCGGAGCAATCGATATCTTCATGTTTTATAACAATTTTTTATAATTTGTTTAATTTCAAAAAGGTTTGAATTTGAATGTTTTGAATGTCTTAATTCTTGTGGAAAATCCTGTTCCAAAAATAAAATTAAAAATAGAAATTGTGCAAATATTTTTCTTCTTTTTCTAAAACAAAATAATAATTTTGTTAAAAAAATTGTGATTCATAAACAAAAATAATGCGAAATAAATAAATTTTCTATTTCTTAATCACAGTTGTTTAACAAGTTTCTAATTTTCCTTAGAAGTAAAGAACAAAAATCTGCATAATAACAATTTGACAAAACATAATATTTAACAAAATTTAAGTTAATGAAAAGAAGTGAAAAAAATTCTGATGATTTCTATTTGTCATTACAATTTTGAATTAATTATAGAATATTAAATATAATTATAACATAATAATATAATATACAATCTATCTAAAGATAACAAAAAACAAAAGTATAAACAAAAGACAACTTCAGAGTGTGAGGGACAGAAAAAGTGAATGAATGAAAAAATGAAAGAACATTCATTATTATAGTTAATAGTTAATTTTTTGGTCTAATTTCTTTTAGCTTTATCGTTAGTCGCAGAATTAATTTCTTTACTAAATAAAATGATATTTAAAATTAATTTAAAGTAATTTTTCAAGTTACTTTAGTATTTTTCAATAGTAATTATTATCAGTAATAATATCTTTAGCATCATTTTTCGAATATAATTTTTAAGTCTAAAAAAATAGAAAATAAGAAAAATAAATAAAAAAACGAAAGAAATGAAAGAAAAAATTTTGCAATTACGTCTTATGGTTTATAACTTTATATAGTATATATAGTCAGATAGTGATGACAAGATCTGTTATTTCCTTGATTTTATTGCGACGGGAAAAAGTGAAAATTGTTATAAAATATTTTCTCTTTCTGTTTCAGGAATTATGACCCTTACGAGCAGCCCGTGTGAGCTAGACAACATGAGCTTGTTTCAAGACCTCAAGTTGAAAAGGAGAAAGGTCGACTCCCGATGTAGTAGCGACGGTGAGCAAAAATATTTTTCTTTATCTAAATAATTTATTGGAACTTTCTGTATATTTCCTTTTTTCTCATTTAAAAACATCTATCAATTCGCTGATATCAAATAAGTCTATTTATCAAATTTTTAAATAAATAAATAAGCCTATATATATATTAAATTGATAAATAAATAAATACCTAAATTGGTAAAAAAAAATTGGTGAATAAGTAAATAATTGGTAAATGAATTTATTAGTTTCTAAATCTGAACAAAGGTAAAAAATCGTTTACAAATAAATACTTTTTTATTTTCTTCAAGTAGTAACTATATTTACTAATTTTTTTGTTGATAAAATTTTACCAATTTTTCAATTATTCTCCTCGCGGAAAAAAGAATATTCTTACTTTGATTTTACTCTCAATTTAAAAAGCTTCAACTTTAGAAGATAAATAATTTTTATATAATTTTTTATTTATAAACAATATTTATTATGATAAATTTAAAAAATACATTTTAAAACAACATTTGAAAAATACATTCAAAAAATACATTTCAAAAATACATTTAATAGCCAATTTTAAAGATAAATTGATTTTTCGATAATTAACAATTATTTTAATTTTCTTTCTATAAACTCTTTCGATAATGAAATTGGAATTAAAGTGAGAATTACGATAAGTATATATAGATATAACAAAGTTAATAATCCCATTGCAAAATTTAAATGCTATTTTATTATAATTAATTAATGCGCAGTTATGTAAGTAATTGTTATAACGAATTAAAGCGCAGATATAATTAAAAAAGGCACTTAATTATTAAATATCATTATTCACTGAAAATTCTAATTTATAATCAGAAAGAAATTTATTATATTACTTTAAATAAAAATAACGAAGTAACTCTTGACAATTTCCTCCCATCTCGCGTTTATATTCACAAGGAGAAAGGATCAATTTTTAGTCAGACACGTGTGAAGCGTTCGAATAAAGACACATTCACCAAATGGACTCATCAAATTCAAAGTTCTCTCTCAATTTTTTGCATTTAATTATTATAGAAATTAAAAAAAAAATTTATTTCCAGAGATAATTTCAATTAATTTCTTAAAATAAAAAAAATTTTCAATTACTCATTTTGGTTAATTTTTTATTTTTATTTAATTATCTATTTTGGTTATAATTCTTCATTTCAATTATTCAGTCTTGTGTTTTTTATTCAATTATGGTTTTTTTTAATCTATATTTTAATTTATATTTTTAATTCAGATGAAATTTAAAAATACGAATTTAATTGAAAATATAAGTTTAATTGAAATTATTAAAAATATAAATTTAATTGAAAATATAAGTTTAATTGAAAAATGAAAAATAAAACTTTTAAAGGAACACAATAGAGAAATGAATGATAATAAAAAAATTGAGAAATTATTATTAGAACTTTTCTATATATTTTTTTTCATTCTTTTTTTTTTAGTATAAGAATGTTTAAAAATATATACAAACACAAACGTGTGTTGTCTATTTCTATAAAACTGGTGTTACTCGCGGTCGGTCGCTCGTGACAAGAGGAATTAACGATCGGCAAGTGCAACGACATTTCTAGAAGCACTACAACTGTTGCATTACGTTGACAATAGAATTTTGCACGTGATTGAAGCGCAAAAATTTTATAATATACAACGATGATAAATGAGCTTCGGCACGCTTCACGGATTACCCCTAAGACATTTCGTGATAGGTATGTGTGCCAATTTCACGCGAGCAATGACCTTTAATTGACAGTTCACTTCGGCTAAAATGTTAATATTATCAAATAAGCGCAAAATTCCCAGCTTTTTTTTCCTTTAACCCTTTTTTTAATTTCCAATTTCCATTAACGAGAAATTAGCGAGAAAATTGCAATTTCAATTATTTTTCAAAATTTTAATAAAGTTTTCGAACGAATTCAATTATTTATATAAAAATTTTAATAAAATTTAATAATTGAATTTTTAATTAAAATTAGGATTAACAAACATAATTCTATTTCAAAACTTTAAGGAAATTAATTAGTATTTTTTTTTAAATTTCAATAAAATTCTTTGCAAGAATTCTATTATTTTTATATAAAGAATAAAATTCTTCGCAGCAATTTAATTTTTTTAAATACAATTTTAATCCAAATTCTTTGTAAGAATTCAATTATTTTTATATAAAGAATAAAATTCTTCGCTGGAATTCAATTATTTTTTGAAAATAATTAACTTTTCTGCAGCAATTCAATTATTTTCATTACAATTTTTATAAAATTCTGCATAAGAATTGAATTATTTTAAATAAAATTTTAATTCAATTCAAATTGAAATAATTGAAAGAATTCAATCTTTTTTAATAAATTTTAATAAAATTCTCTATCAGAATTGAATTATTTTCAATAAAATTTTAATTCAATTCGAATTGAAATAATTGAAAAAATTCAATTATTTTTAATAAATTTTAATAAAATTCTCCATAAGAATTGAATTATTTTCAATAAAATTTTAATTGAATTTTGAATTTAATTGAAGTCAAAAAAATTTGCAAGAACTCAATTATTTTCATAAAATGATAGAAAAAGAATTTAATTATTTTCAAAAATTTTGAATAAAATTCTATGCAAAAAGTAAATGCGATTTCAGAGTCAAAATTATGAAAAGTTACAAAAATTATTTTCAATACAATTTTAATAAAATTCTTCACAGGAATTCAAATATTTATTTTTTTTTTTTACTAACAATAAAATTCTTCATAAGAATTAATTATTTTCAATACAATTTTTAATAAAATTCTTTTAATCGAAAGAATTGAATTAATTAAAAAATTTTTGATATAATTATTAGTAAAAATTTGATTATATTAAAACTGAATAAATTAATTTTAAATTTTGAAAAAGTAATTAAAAAAATTTTTTTGTTTTGTATTTAAGCAACAAAGAATAGTTTTAAATATTTAAAAATTATTAAAACAAATAAATAAATTATAAATTAAAAACTCAAAAAGTAGTAAAAATATAAAGAAAAATAATAATAATACGAAAAAAATTATCATTTCCTATCTAAGAAATTTTCCCTGTGAATTATTTGATTAATAATTTTCATTAAAAATTGTATACCTGATAATTTAGTAAAATTTAGCTAAATAAATTTTAAATCTAGTTTCATTATTTTGTTATAAATAAAGTAAAAATCAAAATTAATAAAATAAGAATAAAATAAAAAAAGTGAAAAAATAACTAAAAAGATAAAAAAAAAAATAAAGAAACTGAAAAAATACAAGAAAATAAATTTTTCTAAACTTTTGAACGTTTATTTGAACGAAATTTTTTTCTATTTTAATATTTTTCAAAATTACTGACGCAAAAAAGAGTAATACATAATTAAAATTAAACATTTATTTAATTAAAAATCCTTTTTTTTAATACAAAAAATAATTTTTTTTCTATAAAAAAATACAAATTAAGAGAAGTAAAAAAATATTGTCGTTCATTTGAATACGTTAGAAACTTTAGAAGCATGAAAGTATAAAAAAAATTTAACTAAGTAGCTAAAAAGAAAAAGAATTAAAAATTAAAAAAAATAAAAGAAAATAACTGAAAAAAACAAAAAATAAATAAATTCTCTAAATCTGAATCAGTGAAAATCCTCAGAATCAGTGAAATTTGACTGAAAATCAGTGACTCTATTCTCGCGATTTGAATCAGTGAAATTTCACTGAAAATCAGTTAAAAATTACTGAAATATCAAAACATTTTTTCACTGAATGGACAATTAAAAAATTACTGAAAATTTTTGTCACGCATATTGAAAATTTTAAATTACACACGGAGAAAAATATAAAGTAACTTTTACTACATTTATAGTAAAAAATTATCGGTAAAGCATTTCTGATAATTTTTACTACTTTTGGAGTAAATTTTGCTAAGTTCAAAATAAATTTTACTAATTTTTACAAATATGTACTTCGAACGACGCAAAATTTACTCCAAAAGTAGTAAAAATTACCGGAAATTTTTTACTATAAAAGTAGTAAAAGTTACTATATATTTTTCTCCGTGCATTTATTTTTTAATTGACCAATCAGTGAAAAATGACTGAAATTTTAATCATTTTTAACTGATCTTCAGTGAAATTTCACTGATTCAAATCGCGAGAATAGTCACTGAAAATCAGTCAAATTTCACTGATTCAGTTTTAGAGAGAAAATAATAAAAAAAAAAAAAAAGAAATAAAAAACTAAAAAAGTAAAAGAAAATAACTGAAAGAGATTAAATAATAAAATAAAAATAAAATATGACCAAAAATGGAATAAAATACACAAAAAAAAAAAAAAATAAAAAATTCGGAGCAAATTAAAAAATTTTGTTTTTCGTGGATGAGATATCAATATAAAAGCAATTGTCAATATAAATATATAAGTGTTGTTTTCACTATTAATAGCTTTGAAACTAGTACCTAGGTACCTACAATCACGTCTCGGCCTTGTCAACTGCATTCCTTCCTTGACCTACACGAACAGCCATAATTCCACATCCTTTTCACGGCGGCGCAACTTCTCCGAATGACTATTACACTTTTGTATTATATTGTCACTTATATATCGTCAATTACACTCATACAAAAATACATATAAAGACCTTCAGCAATAACGTCAAACGTTCAGGAAACAAAAAAAAAAAAAGAGAGAGAGAGAGAGAGAAAAATTACCAAGCACAAAACTATATAGGAAATTTGTCTCCATAATAACAATATAATTTTTTTTCTTTTAATGTAACAATAAGTGTAAGTGTTATTTCCTGTTTTCAAGAAAGACATTAAATTTTTCTCGCCATTGTCAAATCAATTATTATCGATCATATATTTATTATATAGGTACTTGGAGAAATTATTTATTTAAAATTTTAAAATAAGACAAATCAATTGTCAAGTGAAGATAATTTCATCGTTAAATAATTTTAGAGCGTTCAAATTTTTATTTTCTTTAATTATTATAGATAACTATAAGATTATTTATTACTCTCTAAATTTCAATAAATCGATTAACAACTTAAATAATTAGTAATTAAATAAAATTAATTGCTATTTAAGTAATTTGAACACTTGGAGTCAGATAGAGAAAAAAATTAATTAATCACTAGGTATTAATAATTAATTAAATTAATTATTAATTTTTAATTATATTTTTCTTGTTATTATTTAACATTTGATTAAATCGATCACTGACAATTCAGGTAGAGAAGAAATTAATTAATTGCTATTAATAATTAATTTAAATGAATTAAAATATTAATTATTTTATTACCTAATACTTTTTTTTTAGATCAGTCGATTTATTTTTTGTATTATTCTAATAATATTTTTATTACCGTGTAAATAATCGAAAAGATTTCTTCAATATTGTCTAAATACATAAACTGAAATGAGTGACACGAGTGGAGAAAATAGAATCTTTAAAGTTAATAACTTCATCCAAAGATAATAGATTGACTTTGACGTTTGAGCTCTTATTGTTTTTCCCTTTTTCTTTTTTAATGAGAGACGACAAAAGCGGGAACTATATTGCTGCGGTTTCTTGGATGGTTATTTCGCGAGCAAAACAATAATAGTTATTAATTGCCAGTGATAGTTCATCGCTTAGTTGCTTATGATTAATAATATTTTCATGTGTGCACGCGGAACTCTAGGACCGGCCACCGATTAAAAGCGAGAATATGTTCATGTCTATATACAACGAGTTCAAGATAGTTGCGCGATCATTGAACCGAGTAATAATTCCTCTAATAATGAAGTGCCAATTTTTATTTTTATTTTTTGCAAATCGTTACTTGTCAAGAATATTTCTATTCGAAGAGAGTTCTATTTGCAAAAAAAAAAAAATTTAATTCGAAAGAATTTCTATTTTAATAAATTCTAATTGGAAAAAATTATTCTCAAATTCAGTTCAATTGTAAGAGATAAAGAAAAAAAGTAAGAATATTCTTCAATTTTCTTTGAATTATTCAAAGTACTATCAGCAAATACAGGGTTGCCATAAAAAAATTAATTTCGTTTTTCCCTGTTTCCCAGACAACATTTTAACTTTTTCCCTGATCAGAAAATAATATTCTGATTCACACTGAAAGTGATTATATGCCGAGAAAAATGTTCTAATACATTTATTTGCAAATTTCTAAAATTATAAAATTATTCAAAAACATCAACAACTTCATTTAAATAAATATTTAATCATTATTATTTTTCAGTAGCAATTAAAATTCTTCAAAACATTCAAATACAAACCTTTTTGAAATTCAACAACTTATAAGAATATTATTAGAAAACATGAAGAAGGCGATGTTTTAATAATAATTAAAGACAACCCAGTGAATTAATAATAAAATCGAGAATAAAATAAAATTAATTCTACGCAGAATTGTTAGTTAAAAGTACGAAAAGTTCTGATTTTCACAGATTTGAATTCGAAACCATTTCAAAATTCAATTATTTCTAAATATTTCCCCCTTATGTTTTTAATATTTAATTATTATCAAAAATTCTAACTGAAATTATTCATTTTTAAATCAATTTTTAATTAGAAAATTTTACGAGAATTAAATTATTTAAATACAAAAATAAATAATTTATTTAACAATTCTTCAAAAAGTTTTCAATTATTAACGTGAATTTCTAAAAAATTTTGAAAATAAATTAATTTTCGGAAAGTATTTTATTTGTTTTCAAAAGAATTGCATTCCTATGATGAATTTTGATATTTATCGAAATAATTGAATTTTGGAAAAGAATTTTATTAAAATTCCTTAAAATAATTGATTTCATGTGGAAAACTTTGTTGTTCATCAAGATAATTGAATTCATTTGCAGAATTACTTAAAAATTTTTGAAAATAATTAATTTTCTGTCACGATTGAAAAGTCATTTATGAAAATAATTGAATTATTGCAACGAATTTTATTATTTTATTGAATAATGGAATGTTTCTTCAATTTGAATTTATTTAAATCTTAAATTTATTTAAAATTGTATTAAAAATATTGGAAATTCTGCGATGAAAATAATTGAATTCCTAAATGAAATTTTATCATTAATGAAAATAATTGAATGTTTACGTAGAATTGTATCAACCAATTTTTTTTAATAATTAAATTATTTGATAAATTTTATGAAAATAATAAATTTTGCTATTTATAAAGATAATTGAATTCTTGACGAGATATTCTTTCAAATTTTTAAAAATAAATGAATTTCTTCGAAGAATTTTATAACTTTTAAAAATAATTGAATTCTTGTGATGAATATTGTTATTTATAAAAATAAACGATTTTTGTTAAGAATTTTGTTAAAATTCTAAAAATAATTGAATTTTTGTAAAGAATTTTGTTATTTATTAAGATAATTGTATTAAAACTTTTGAAATAATTAAATAATATTAAAAAATTCATTCTGGTCAGAATTAGAAAAAAATTTTGAAGGTTTTGTATTGGAATTCGTGGTATTTTAATAGTTTATGCGGCAAACAAAAAAGAAAAAAGGCACAAAAAATTCAAAGTTTTCTTATGAATTCTACAAATTAAATTTTTTCCAGTAATTTTATTAAAAATCTCTGACTTTTCCCTGATTTCCCTGACCTGTGGCAACCCTGAAGTACTTTGAGACTCATGATTGAGTAATAAGTATTTAATTCAAGCTTGCTGCAAGCTTATACAATATTTTCAAGCTTGTTTCAAACTTAAAGAGTGTTTTAAACCTTGCTGCAAGCTTCCCGCAAGCTTACAGAGTGTTTAAAGCATGCTGAAAGCTTCCCGCAAGCTTAAATTGTGTATTAAAGCTTCCCACAAGCTTAAATAATATTTTTAAGCTTGCTGAAAGCTTCCCGCAAGCTTAAATTGTGTATTAAAGCTTCCTGCAAGCTTAAATAATATTTTCAAGCTTGCTGAAAGCTTCCCGCAAGCTTAAATTGCGTATTAAAGCTTCCTGCAAGCTTAAATAATATTTTTAAGCTTGCTGAAAGCTTCCCGCAAGCTTAAAGGTTTCTATCATAAAATAAAACATTAAAAGCGTCAAAAATGCAAAAAAAAAAGAATAAAAAACTTTTTTCTCAGACTCCCCAGTATCCCTCGGATCAGCAGGCTCACCGCTAGGGATCCAGCCAGCGGACGCACCTTCACCCATAAACTTTCCTGCTCCAGGAGAAAGTGTGGCGGATACCTCGACATCATCACCAGACGCCAATATGCCAGGCTCGCCGGGCTGCCCGGTGGTCAAAGTAAAATCCGAATACCTGCGCAGCAGTCCAAGTCCCGGGACACCGGCTCGCGACACAATCAGAAGTTCCGTAATAAGTCAGGATCCAATACGTGACCATGGCTCGGATCGTGCCTCGCCCGATTCCGTTTTTCCCGACGTCATCAGTTCACGTGTCGCCGACGATCATCAACGTTCATGTACACCAGCACCAACGAGATCATCACCCCAATCGCCAATTCAGGCCGTCTCCACAACACCAATGTCCCAGGAGTCGAGTAGCAGGAGCGAGAGTCCCGATCGAGGGAATCACCTCACCTCAGTACAATCGAAAGAGGAATCGGATAATTCTGTATTTGATGGCGGTGGTCCCGGTGGCGGTCCAGGTGGTGGCGGTGGGAATAATCGTAATGACACCAACATCAACACAAATCAACAGCAGCAACAACAACAACAACAACAATCATCACAAAGGAGCAGTCCCTCGTCACAGTTCAATCCAAATATGAGTCCCAGAACCAATTCTTCCCATGGGAATCACATGCAAACACCGCCAACACCACAGAGGCATCGCACGCCAACGGTGCCGTCGCATATTCTAGGCCATCATCAATTCTGGCCACCGGGCGCCGTCGGACAGAATTTCGCCACCCAACGATTACTCAATGGCGTCATCAGCAGTGCCGTTAATTATGCGCAAAATCTTGCCGGATCCTCGAGCAGCAATGGCTCTGGGGTCAATGTCACCACTGGAAATGGCTCCGGATCCAGTGGCAATGCCAGTGGAAATGGCACCGGTTCCGCGGGATCAAATACTGGAGGTGCATGTAAGTTTCTTGCTATTACCGTTTAGTGACTGTAATCCCCTTTGTTGATATTGTTACCGACTGGTGGTAATCCCCCCTCTGTCGGTATTGTACCGACCGCTGGTCATTACCACCAGTCGGTAACAATAATGGCACTCCTTGTAACTCATAAGGCCCCTGTCCCCTCTTTATTGTTCCGACTGTTCTAACTCGCCCTCTGTTGATATCGTATCGACAGATGGCAATCGCCTTCTGTTGGTATTATACCGATCGATGATAATTACCACCAGTCGGTAACAATAATGACATCAGTTCCCAAGAACCCAGTCACCTAAAGATCAAAAACCCCAAATACCAAATCGATAACCAACTAAACAAAAATTTATTTTTAGGCGAGAGTATGAAGCCACCGGCCCAAAGGTCGGCGCCAACAACTCCACGACCACCACCAAGTGTAATAATGGGCGAAGTTGGTGGCGTGAGGACAATGATTTGGTCAGCGCCAGCACTTGATCCTGTACCACCGCCTGCAGCCTCGTGGACGACGACAGCGTCATCGGCTTCCTGTTCGTCCACTGAGGAATCGGCGGCACAATTGCTATTGAATCTCGGACAGGAGTCACGAGGGAAACCGCCTGGCATATCGTACTCATCGGGTCCGCCATTAAATATGGAAAGGCTGTGGGCCGGTGATCTAACGCAATTGCCGGCTGCTCAACAAATTCAGGCATTAAATCTAACGGCTTCCGGTTCGAATCAACCGTGGGTGAGAAATGGCGGGGTTGTTAAATCAGAGGTGGCGTCACAGTCGTTATCTGTTGCACCACCTGCACCGCCATTACCACCACAGGAACACGAGGAGGATGAAACGCCTATGATTTGCATGATTTGCGAGGACAAGGCCACTGGACTTCATTACGGTATCATCACCTGCGAAGGGTGAGTGCTTTCTTTTGTTTGCTTCCTGTGCAATATTTTTTACTTCCTTTTACTCGACACACTGTTTGTTACTTCTTGTTACTCGAGGTTTGACCGTATCGAAGAACCGGTCGGTTTTTCGATCCAATTCGACAAGAGTTCTAATTGCCAAAAGTTTATCAAGTTCAAATCTGGCCTTGTGGGCGGAAAAAAATCCTGATTCTTTCAAACCTAATTGCAAATTTCTCTTCTATACTTTTTGGTCTATTTCAAAAATATTATTCGAAATTATCTTTCGATAATAGCTGGCAAATCCCGGTGGCGAAATTGATGACCTTTGATCAACATTTCTCCTAGAAAGTTGACCTTTGAACTCTAACCTTCCGTTAAATTCGCACATACACCTGCCGCATCTTCCGCTCTGTATTCGAAAGTGTGGGCAGGTGTTCGATTCAGACACTCCTGGAATTCTTCCTCAAGATTACCTTGAATCGAGAAAATAAATTGATCCGTGTTTTAATTCCCATTGTCCTTCTCCAAAATTTTTTAGAAACCAAAAAAGAGGATATTTTTTCTGCTTCTGCAAAAAAAGGAATTTGAAAGTGACAAAAGGGGAACTTTAAATAAACTTTTGCAACATAAACTTTCCTGTAGATTTTTAAGGAAAATAGTTTTGAACTTTAATTACGAATGAAGAATTCGAGTTTATCAGGAATTTTAAATTTCAGTTGCAAGGGCTTTTTCAAGAGGACAGTGCAGAACAGGCGGGTCTACACTTGTGTGGCTGAAGGAGGCTGTGAGATTACAAAAGCCCAGAGGAATCGGTGTCAATATTGTCGTTTCAAAAAGTGCATCGAACAGGGTATGGTCCTGCAAGCGGTCCGCGAAGATCGCATGCCCGGTGGCAGGAATTCTGGCGCCGTCTATAATCTTTATAAGGTAACGTAAAATATTTCTCCTGACGAAACGATTTCTTAAAAATCAATCCACGGTGCACTAAAGTCAATTTTTTAGTCAATAAACTGAGTGTCAATTTGGAGCCGATTTTTGGTCATTTGGGTATCAAAATGGAACAACCAAATGACCCAAAATCGGCTCCAAGTAACTCATCTTTTTACAACTGTCTATAGAAAAATATCTAAATTCTATTGTAAAAATAGTATTTTAGAAATTAAATTATTGTAGAAATGAACAATTCTGTTAAAATGATAATTTTTTCGAAATGCTTTGCGTAGGTAAAGTACAAGAAACATAAGAAAACGACAAAATCGTCGGGAGTTGGGGGTGGAATGGGAGGAGGTGGTAATGTTAGTGGTGTAAATGGCTCGGGGACGTTGACTGGCAGCAAAGGAACCATGGGAACAACAATGTTGGAAAAACACATGGCTGCTGCAGCGGCGGCTCATCACAGTCAACAACAGCAACATACCCAGCTGGCAGGAAGTTTTCTCCATCATCACAGAATTTCATCCGGTGATTCACACAACTCTCAACCTACCTCCAGCCATCCGAGCCACAATGTGCACTCGGGCCATCTTGTTAATGGAACCATTCTCAAAACGGCTCTCACCAATCCCTCCGAAGTAAGTCCACAAATGGCTTCAAATAATTTTTCCCTTTTCAAAAAAATATATATATATACACACACACACACGCGCGCGCCTTCAAGAATTTCTCTCTAAAAAGGGGGAATTCACAACAATTCTTTTTCTATCCAGGTTTCTTGAAAATAGTTTGTAGAATCGTCTGGCGTTTGATATTTTTATCATCATCATCATGACTATCATCATTTTTCATGAAAGTATCAAACTGATAGTAAATTGGTACAAATTGGTACCGAATTTTATTCGATCGAATAAAATTGGTACTAGCCTCGACGTTGAGCATCGAAATAGGTTTTTTACTCAGAAACAAAAAAAATAAAATGTTTGTAAATTTCCAAATGTTTGTAGTTTCAAAAAGATGTCTTTTAGGAACACCTTCGAAGTCCTAAAAATTTTTAAACGAATACAAAAAGTTACTGACATTAAACAAAAAAAAAATCAAGTTTCAAAACGAGAACAAGAAAGAAAAACCTAAAGTTGGTAATTATTTCTAGAAATAAAAATTGGATAATAATAATAAGATACAGAATTGAGAATGGAGGGAAACCTGAAATTGAATGAACTCTGAGAGCAATTTCACTTTCTTACAAGTTGGCTTGCGCAAACCTCAAGGTTTCCCATATTACGAAAGAACGATAGATGCAAGGAGTGTGCTTATAGCTAAGTTGATCGTCATCATGGATGACGCTTTACTTGCTTGCTTGCTTACCTGTCGTCCATTGTTTGTCTGCGAATAATAATCGCGTAGATATTTTCTCTCTCACGCGCAAATTTTCTTATCGCATCTCCCCATCCTCTATCGAAGGTGACTTCCACAAATTAACTCTTTTATTCGCTGCTGAGATTAATGAAGGCCATTTTGTAAAATACAATTCATTATTCACCCAGAGCTACGAAATTACATATTCTAAACAGAAAAAATGTCTCTTCAAACATTTTTTCCCAGCTTTAAACTAGAAAACGAAAATTTTATCTTTCAAGACTTTTTTCAACCAAGAAAATTGTATTTTTTTCCAAAGTTTTTTTTACTTTTTAAACCCAGAAAATTTCTATCTTTCCAAACTTCTAGCTTCTCTAAACTAATTTTTAGAATTTCTTTCCTCTGTAAACTAATTTTTGAGAAAAGTATTTATTCCTTCCTCTTTAAACTAATTTTTAAAAAAAGAAGTTCGAAAGTTTCAAAAAAATGAGAGAGAGAGAGAGAAGATGAGAGAAGAAACGAAAGGGGAACTGAAAAATCTATACGAGGAAGACAAAAGAAAATTCTCGAATGACGAAAGTCGTGTAAAATATGCAATCAATCGGCTCGTGTAAGTCTAGAGGCCATTGCCAAAAGTGAAAACGAGTAAATTGTGCAAGTGGCTTGCAAAAATATTGCACAGCCATAATTCGAAGAAAAAATGAATCACAATCAGAATAAGGAAGAAACGGGAATGCCAAAAACATTTAAATTTCTTTTTCCCTTATTTTCAGACAGAATTTACATTTTTTTTACCCTAATTCTTAAACAAATCAAAGGAAGATAAATTATTAAAAAACAACATTTTTAGAAGCAAAAAATTGAATATTCTATATACCTATTTTAAAAATAAAATTTTTGTTGCAAATTTCCATCGATTATTTTCAAAATATTTCATTAAAATTCTTTAGCAAAAAATTCAATTACTTTTTCATAGAGTTTTAGAGAATTTAAATTATTTCAAAAAAATTTAATTATTTTTAATATAATTTTAGGAAAATTTAATGATTTTTAATATTATTTCTGGAAATTTAGATTCTTTCTAAAAACTTCAATTATTTTTAAAAGTATTTTAGGAATTTTCAATTTTTTTCAAAATTTTAATTATTTTTAATATATTTTTAGGAAAATTTAATGATTTTTAATATTATTTCTGGAAACTTCGATTCTTTCCAAAAACTTCAATTATTTTTAAAAGTACTTTAGGAATTTTCAATTTTTTCCAAAATTTCATTTATTTTTAATATAATTTCAGGAAAATTGAATGATTTTTAATATTATTTCAGGAAATTTCAAATTTCAATTCTTTCGAAAACTTTAATTATTTTTAAAAGTATTTTAAGAGTTTTCATTTTTTTTCAAAATTTCAATTATTTTGAATAGAATTTTAGTAAATTTCAATTGTTTCAAAATGTTTTAGAATTTTAAATAAAATTGATCAAAAAATCAAAATATAATTTTAAATTACAATTTTTAAAAATTAAGCAATTAATAAAAATTGTTTCAAAATTACATTAAAATTTCACAGAAACCTAAAATTTTTTAGAATTTCAAAATAAAAGTAATAAAAAATTCCATAATTTGAAAAAATAAATATTTAATTATAATTGCATTATCATTATATTCTTTTTACAAATAAATACTAATTTCTGGACAGCAATTGAAATTTCCAAAAATTCTCAATTATTTCTGAACATTGCAACTGCATTAAATTATTTTGAAAATTTTTCAATTACCTATTTGTTTATAGAAATTTAAAATATCTTTAAAAAAGTGAATTAAAATTTCTCAGAAAACTAATTTTTTCGGAATTTTATATAAAATTTTCTTAAAATTCAATTTTCTTTATTTTTTTTTGTCTAATTTAATTTTCCCTGACCTGTGGCAATTCTGAAGAAATTATTTAGAATAATATTTACGAAATTTCGTTAAATCTCAAAATCAGAATTAATTGAAAATAACTAATTGTTAAAAAGTTAAAATTTTGTCTAATTTTTTCCTTTAACAGTTAGTAAAAAAATAATTAATTATATAAAGAAAATAACTGATTAGTAAATGACTAATAATTAGTAAATAAATAATTATTAGTAATAATAATAAATAACTGGGACTAATCGACTTTTTTCACATTTTTCAATTACTTTTTGACTTAAATTTTAAATAGCAGAAATCTTTTTATTTGTAAACTATTTATTATTATGTACTATTTATTATTATTTATAACTATTTATTATTATTTATAATAATCTTCATATTTCATTATTTTATTAATTCTGTCTGTCCACACTTAGAAGTTAGTTGTTGTGTATGCTTTTTTTTCATTAAAAAATATTGTTTGATAAATCAAAAATATGCAAGTATTTTTTCATGATTGATAATAAAATAATATTTGAAATATTTAAAATTTTGTAAAAGAAACATTATATATTCCCGTTTCTTAATATTTTTCTAGAAAATTCTCAATTTTCATAAGGAAATAATTTGCACCATTTCTATGGATTTCTTAATTATAATTGCTTTAATAAAACTCAGTTTCTTAAAATAAAAGGGAAAAAATGTTTAAAAATTCTATTTGTCAATTACAAATTTTAATTGAAAATGAAATTGAAACTTTTTAAATTATTAAAAAATAAAGGAAAAAAATTTACTCAAAAAAATGTTCTGTTACATTTATTTAAGAATTTCTTTTCAAAAACTCGAAAACATCAATAACTTCTTTTTTAAATAAATATTTAATTATTATTATTTTTCCATAGGAATTAGAATTCTTCAAAAGATTCGAATTCAAACCATTTTGAAATTCAACAAACTTATAAAAAATTGTTATAAAACATGAAGAAATCGAGTCTTCGACTCGGATCAATCGATATCTTCATGTTTTATAATAATTAAAAAATAATAAAGAAAAGTAAATTTTTAAATAAATAATAATCAAACCGATTATTCGATTCATTTAAGTATTTTTTTGCATTCGAAATTAATTATTATGATTAAAAATTATTTTTCTGTCTTATTGTAAATATAAAAAAAACTATGTTCTATCGTCAGTTATTCGCTCAAATGTAGTATTTTTTATTTATATCGACAAAAATGTTAAAAAAAAACAAAAGAAATAATTATTTTGGTGTCTCATTGCAAATAAAAAAACGGCAAATAAAGTAATTTTCATAAAAATATTTTGTTACATTCTACACTCAATTCTAATAAACCCCATTAACGGTTTGCCATTTTTTTTACAATTTGTACAATTTCATGCCTCTTTTTTGTCGTTTTGTCTAAAATTTCATGAGACTTTTTCGGAAAATGAAACTTGGAAAATTTGTTTGATTAACGGCTCGAATATTGAATGTTTGAAATCTCTCGAGGTGAAGCACGAGATAGGGACAATAGAAAATCAGCGGCAACCGGTGCCAAGGACGGGCAGTTCTCGGACGTTTCGTAACTCGTGAAAGTCTGCACAAGGGACACTGACCTCACCCTCCTCCATTCCAAACCAAATGCTGTGCCTCCTTCTTCCTTATACTGCGGCTTATGCCAGAGAACGTCCCACGGCCGACGATGATGATGACGACGACGATGACGACGATGACGACGATGATCACTGTACACAGACCTTTAGTATCTCTCCTTCTTTTCTTTTCTTTTTTCAACAGAAAGAAAACTTTCCCCAAATGAATCCAGAAAAATCTTCTTCCTTATATGTTTCATGTAACAACGTGTATCATGAAATCGTGATTCGACCTCAAAGTTTCAGGAAAGTTCGAAAGGTCAGAGAAAGGTTCTAATCCAAGCTCTCAACAGAAACACTTTCATTTCTCCCAGACGAATATTGTGTGTTTATAATTGTTTTGTTTTTGTTATTTTTTTTCTAAACTTTTTTTATTATTACTTTTCTAAATTTTTTTTTGTTATTCAAATAAAAATTTTCTTTGTTTCAATAAAATTCTTTTTTTTATTTGAAAAAATTTATTGGAAAATATTTATTTAAAAAAATTTATTTGAAACAAGTAAATTTTATTTAACAGTCACTATTTTGCTATTCATTAAATGATGTGCTAATTGAGACGGATTTTTTTATTGCAGGTTGTGCATTTACGGCAGAGGCTGGATAACGCAGTTAGTAGTTCGAGGGATCGGGCATTTCCTTTGGATGCCACTCTCGCTATGATACAAACCCTAATAGACTGCGACGAGTTCCAAGATATCGCTACGATAAGGGTTAGTATAATTTTCCAATTATATTATTTATTTTCTAATTTTTTTTTTTACTTTAAAAAAATATTTTTAATATAAAAAGTAGTTTAAGGTAAAAAATATTTTAATGTAAAAAAAGTAAAAAGTTTAGTGTAAAAAAAAAGTGCTCATTATTGCTCTAGGGCAATAAAGTACCCATTATCAGACTTCGCACTCGATAATTAATTTTTAAAAAGTAGGAAAAAGTAACTTCATGCAACAAATTTTATTATTCATGAAAAAATTTAAATATTTATCAAAATAATTTAATTCTTGCGAAGAATTTTATAAAAATTTTTAAATAATTGATTTCTTTCGACTAATTTTATGCAAATTCTAATTTAAATAATTGAATTCCTGAGAAATGTTTCTTATTCATGAAAAGAATTGAATTCTTACGAAGATTTTTACAAAAAAATTTTTTGAATAATTGAATTTTGTTTGGAAATTTTATGAAAATAGTAGATATTAAAAATCATTGCATTGCGAAAAGTTTTTAAAAATAAATAAATTTTACAAAGAATTCAATTAAAATTTTTGACATAATTCAATTTTTGACAACGACTTTATTAGAATTTTTGAAAAATTATTGAATTTCAAAGAAGAAAATTAATACTTTTAAAAATAATTAAATTCTTGTGATGAATATTGATTGTCATTTATGAAAATAATTGAATTTTGCAAAGAATTTTATTAAAATGACTCAATATAATTGAATTCACGGTAATAATAATAATTATAATAATAATAATAATTATAATAATAATATATTATAATATTAATATATTATTATATTATTATATATTATAATTATAATATATATTATAATATATATATATTATATATATTATATATTATTATATTATATATTATAATTATTATATTATTATTTTCTCGGTAATAATTTTGTTATTTATCGACATAATTGAATTCTTTCGAAGAATTATTTATGCGTAAATAATAAATTGAACTCTTGGGAAAAATTTAATTAAAATTAAAAAGAATAATTGAATTATTTAAAAAAAAATTTAATTAAAATTGTAGGTATTTAAAATAATTGATTTTTTTCGAACCATTTTATTAAACTATTTGGAAATAATTATATTCCTGTGAAAAATTCTAATATTTTTCTAAATAGTTGGATTCTTCCAAAGAATTTTAAAAAATTTTTTAAACAATTGATTTTTTCGAGGAATTGAAATTAAATTTTTAAGAATAATTATACTTTTTGATCAATTCCTATAAAATTGTATTAAAAACAATTGAAATCCTGCGTTAAATTTTATTATTATTGAAAATAATTGAATAGTTGCTAAGAATTTTATTAAAATTTTCAAAAATATTTGAATTCGTGAAAAGAATTTTTTTTTGTTAAAAATAATTGAATTACTGCAAAAAATTTTATTACAATCTTTAAAAAGAATTGAATTTTTGTGAAAAATTTTTTTAGTTTTGAAAATAATTGAATTCTTTATAAAAGAATTTAATTAAAATGTCTCAAAATAATTGAATTATCTGGAATAATTTTGTTATTTATCGAAATAATTGAATTCTTTCAAAGAATTTTAAACAAACATGTTTTTAAATAATTGATTGTTTCGAGGAATTGAAATTAAATTTTTAAGAATTTCATTAAAATTTTTCAAAAATAATTGAATTTGTGAGAAAAATGATATTATTTATCAAAATAATTAAATTATTGCGAAAAAGTTTATTAAAATGTTTAAAAAAAATGTATTTCTGTGAAAAATTTTGTTATTTTTGAAAATAACTGAATCCTTTATATAAGAATTTTATAAACATTGATTTTTCGACGAGTTTTATTATTTATGAAAATAATTGAATTCTTGCTTAGAATTTTATCAAAAATTTTTTTTAAAAATTAAATTTCCATGGAAAATGTTATTAGTGAAAATATTTGAATTATTAGTGAAGAATTGTATAAAAATTTTGTTAAATAATTGAATTTTTCGATATTTTTTTTTTAAAATGCTATTCTAAATTAATTGAATTCCTGTGTAAATATTATTATTTATGAAATTAATTGAAATTAGGATGAATTTTATCAATTTTTATTTAAATAATTAAATTCTTTTGCGAAACTTTATGAAAATACTAGATAATTGAAAATAATTGAATTTCGAATATTTTTTTGAAAATAATTAAATCGTTTTAAAGAATTTGATTATAATTTTTGAGAATAGTTTTTTGATTTCTAGTATTAGCAAATTTAAACTAGTGGAAATTCTCAAAAAGAAAAATACAGAAATAGAAACTTTTAGTGGTTGAAATTTAAAAAAAAAAGTATCCAAATAGTAGCATAATGTTAAAAAATTAGTAAATAGTAGGTTTTAGTAGGTGAGTGCGAAGCTTGCATTATTACCCTAGGGCAATAAAGTGTACTTTATTGTACTATTAATTTGCATGAATAAAATAAAATTTATTGATCGCTTCTCTAGAACTTGGACGAGCTGCTGGACCATAAATCAGACTTAAGTAAGAAGCTGTGTCAGATAGGAGACAGCATAGTGTACAAGTTGGTGCAATGGACCAAAAGGTTACCCTTCTACCTTGAGCTACCGGTAGATGTCCACACGTGGCTACTCACTCACAAGTGGCATGAACTTCTGGTGCTCACCACGTCGGCTTATCAGGCCATGCACGGTCAGCATCGAGTTTCCAACGCTGGTAACGATGGAACCGGAACTGATTTTATGCAAGAGGTGAGCTAAAGGCCTCAATTTTTTTTTTTAATTGTAGGTCTCCCCGGGGGACATAAAATGAGAGTATTTTCAGACCGATTCATAAAGTTTAACTATATTTTTTTTGCATTTTTCATTTTGTAAAAAAACGTTTTTTGGCCATAACTTAAAAAAAATGTTAGGACACCTATAAATGTTTTTCTTCAGTTTTGTAGAGTTTTTTCAGACGCATCTTTTGAGCCTTCATTGAACATTTTTCGTCTATATTAGCCAGAGATATTAAAGTTTTAAAAATCTAAATTTTTCGAAAATAACACTTTTTTGAAAATTTTGTTAAAATATAAAAGTAACTTTAAAAGTATCATTACCAACATGTAGAGTATTAAAAAACGCTTCGATTGACCTATTTTCGAACCTGATTCGGTCAAAAATTATCAAATTATTGATATTTGAAAAATCAAAAATTGTGGAAAATATCATTTTTTCAACATTCTTGTTTATTAACTTATGTGTAATTGTTAAACTATTATAACCATCTTATAGAATATATAAAAACATATTTTTTGGACCAAGATTTAATGATTTTTAACTCTTTTATAAAAATTAATTCTTATATTTTATTACTGTACGAACAGAATTTTTAATTTTCTTATGCAAAATTATTATTTTTTTTTTTTGTGGTTCAGGTTTCGAACAATATGTACACGTTACAAACGTGTCTCTCGACCATGATGGGCCGAGAAATAACCATGGAACAATTGAGGCAAGATGTGGGACTCATGGTGGAAAAAATCACATACGTCACGCACATGTTTAGGAGGGTGAAGCTGCGAATGGAGGAATATGTTTGTTTAAAAGTCATCGCGATGCTCTCGCAAGGTGAGAATTTCATTATAATGGAAAATTTCTCACAATTTGTAAAAATAATTATATAATAATAATAATAATAATAATAATAATTTTATTATTTATCTTAACTTTTGATTCGCTTTTTTGTCTCAATTTAAAATCTGCATGAAAACTGTTATATTAAATCGTAATTTTATTTATAATTAGAAAAAGAAAATAAAATAATTCGCCGATTATTTTTTACAGCACAAGGTGCTACGGTGGAATTGGAGCAAATTCAAGAGCGGTACGTCAATTGTTTGAAAAGTTTCCTCGAACACAGCGCACCGAATCAACCTGGCCGCTTCCAGGACCTTATTATCAGATTGCCAGAGGTAAATGTCTTTCAATTTTTCTTTCTTTTTTACTTGAAAAAAAAATTAATTCTGCCCTCCTGGCAATTTATAATTACGTATTTATTTAAATTCATTTCGTTTGATTATTTTCCCTAACTTTTAAACGCTTAAATCAAACAATAAAATTTTAATTTACCAGGGTGGTCACTTTTTTCATAAAAAAAAATTCCCGGTCCATCCAAGATCATGAATTTTTTTTCCCGGTCATAAAGAATAATTCTGAAAATAAACAATTCCATGAAAGATTGAAAGAAATATCTGATTTTTAGACAAAACTTTGACTTTTTTCCAAAGCCTAAAAATATTTGAGTTTATACTAAAAATAATTGAAACTCCGAAATATGTTTATAATACATTTTTTTTAATATCTTTAATTTTTTGAACAAATAAATAAAATAAAAATATAATCAAATAGTCTAATAAAATAAATAAATTGTAAAATCATTTGGAACTTAAATAGATTTTTTGAAATAAGTATTTAATTATTATTATTTTTCCATAGGAAGATTTCAAAAAAAAGTTTCAAATCGTTTAAAATCGAATAATTTTTAAGAATTCATAATTGCTATACTGTTACTTATTAAAAATTATTTTAAAAATTTCAATTCAATTATTTTCGAAAATTTTTAATTAAAATATTTATAAAATTCACTTGTTTACAAGACAATTTCATGAAATTTTGAATAATTTGAAAGTTTTCGAATTAAATATTATACATTTAAAAATTTAACTAATTTGAAAAAAAATGTGAATACAAATGTTTTAAAAAACTAACTTATTCAGAATTTTTAATTAAAATCTTTTACAATTCAACTTCTTTAAAACTTTAATTTGAAAGTTTTTAAAATTCAAAAATTCAACTTATAATCTATATTAATATTAATAATATCAATTTAATATTCTAAAATATAAAAATAGTTGCTTATGAGTAATTGTAAAAAGACGAATTGATATTAATGCAAAATACGGTTTTTTATAAATATTTATTTTCTAAGAAATAAAGTTTCATTTATTTTTATTTTTTATTTACTTTATTTATTATTTAAAAATTAATTTTTATAAATTTCGTATCACTTTTGTTCTAATTAGTTCAAATTTTTAATAATTCAAATTTGTTTTGTTAAAATATTGTTGCAAAAAAAAAAAATTTTAAATTGATTTATTTTTCACTATTTTATACGATGTGAAATTTTTTTTCTTTCTAATTTTTTCGACGAATTTAATTAAAATTATATTTTGCTTAATTATTGTTAAAAATAGAAAGAATTTAAAATTAAATTTAATATACGTTCTTTTTTTTAAGCGGCCACCCTGAATTGATTCAATTTTAATTCATTTTAAATTTTATTGTAAAATTATTTTTTTGCATTTTTGTAAAAATTAATGATTTACCAAATAAATATTTAATTTACTTTAATTTTCGTTTATGGTCAATAGTAATTACTATTGAATTAATACTAATAGTAATTAATTCCTTCACAAATAATTATTAAATTAGTAAATTACTATTTACTGATTAAAACTAATTCATTTTGAAAATTTAAAAAAAAAATTAAAATTCGTTCACTGGAAGTAACAAAAAAATCTACTTTTATCTTTTTGTGATATCCAGGGTGCCACAAAAATTTTATTTTCTCCCCTGATTTCCGTTCTTCTTTCATCGATTATTTTCAAATAATTCAACAAAATTCTTTTTAAAAAAATTAAATACTTTTAATAGAATTTTAAAAAATTTCCATTATTCAAATAATTTTATTAATTTTATAAATTTTAATTATTATAAAAATTCAATTATTTAAAGAAATTTCACTTACTTATTCATAAAAACTCAAGTATCTATAAAAAATTAAATTTAAATTTCACAAAAGTCTGAAATTTTTCGGAACTTTATATAAATAAAAGTATTTAAAACTTAAATAATTGAAATTTTCAAAAATTCTAGTTCAAAACTTTCTGAAATTTAGTTATTTCTGAAAATTGCAACTGCTTTTAACGGTAAATAGTTTCTCGGTTAATTGTAGAATTAATAACTTTATGAAAGTTATTCTAGAATTTAATTATTTAAAATAAAATTTTAATATTAATATTTTAATAAGAATAAATTTAATTATTTACAGAAATAACAAAAAAAATCAAGGTATTGTTTTATAATTAATTGTGAATTAAAATAAGTATTTTATGTTGTGACACTTTACAAATTTTAATTATTCTCCAATTATTAAATTAAAATTATTAAAAAATTCAATTTTAATTAAATTTTAGGAAATTTCAATTATTTTAAAAATTTTCAATAATTACTTATTTATAGATCGATTGTGAAACTTTGTAAATTTTAATTTTTTTCCAATTATTAAATTAAAATTATTAAAAAATTCAATTTTAATTAAATTTGAGATATTTCCAATTATTTTAAAAATGTTCAATTACTTGTTTATGGAAATTCAAATATATTTTAAAGAAAGTGAATTAAAATTTTTTAGAAAACTAATTTTTTCCGGAATTTTATATAAAATTATCAAAAAATTAAATAATTTAATTTGTAGATTTTTTTCTGAATAGTTTAACTTTCTAAATAAATATACATAATTAGTGTCAATTTTTTCACAGAAATTGTAATTTTAAAAAATTGTAGTTTGAAGACCTTTTGCGAAAGTTAATAGAATATATAATATAATAATACTGAAAATTGCAACTGTCTTTAATTAAAATCTTTTCTAAGTTAATTTTAATTATAATAATTAATAACTTTAAGAAATTTATTCTAGAATTTGATTCTTTGAAAGAAATTAATTTAATTTCTTAAAATAAAAATTATTTGCAGAAATAACGAAAACTCAAGGTACTCTTTGTAAATTGTTACAATTATTTACCTACTTGTAATATTAGATTTTCTTAAAATCGCTTTCGAAATTGTTTAACTTTAATTACTTTTATTTGAAGTTTGCAAAAGTAGCATTAAATTAAAAAATTCTTTAAATTTTCCAGCATTTTCAATCTTTTTAAAATTTTGAGTTTAAATCTATTAAAAATTTCTCAAAAATCTAATTTTTCAGAATTTTAAATAAAACTTTACGAAACTTGAGTTTAAAAAAAAATTTAAGTTTAAATCTTTTTAAAATTTTGAGTTTGAATCTCTTTCAATTTTGCCGAATTTTTAATAAAACTTTTCGAAAAACTTGAGCTTGAAAAAATTTTAAGTTTAAATCTTCTTAAAATTTTGAGTTTGAATTTCTTTAAAATTTTTATTTAGAAAAAATCTTGTTGGAAAGAAAAATTTTGATTGTAATTCTTTAGAAAATAATCCCCCCCCCCCCTCTAACTTTCCTGACTTGTGGCAACCCAGATATCGAAATTTTCCAAATTTCTTTCTCAAATTTCTAATTCTATTTTAATTTTTAAAAATGAATTTAAAAAAAAAATTCCACAGCACTAACAATTTGATTATCATTTTAAAGGTTCAATCGGCCGCAACACTGCTGCTCGAAAGCAAAATGTTCTACGTTCCTTTTCTACTCAATTCAGCAACTCAAAGATAGTAAATAAAAAAATTGAAAAACGAAGCTGACTACCAACACCTGTATACATATATAAATAGACGAGACGAAAGAAAAAAATTGGTAGTTAAACAAACAAACCTTCTACTCACGTGCATGAAACGGAGGAAAGAATTTGTTTGTGTATGTATAATAACTATAATATATATAAATATATAAATAATATAAATGTGTGTGTTCGTTGCGTTGTACAAAAAAAAAAAGAAACAAGTTTTTTGAAAGAAGAGAGAAGACTTACAATTAGAGTTGAAGTTATTCGGTCAAAAGAATTTTACCGAAAGCAGAATATGATAATAAAAAAAAAACCGAGACGGCGAGAGTGAAAGAGAAGCCAGAGAGAAAGAATAAATAAATGAGAAAAAAAAGAGAGAAAGCGTTATATTAAAATAAATAAGAAAAAAAAAAAAAAAAAAAAAATGAAATCAATTGAGGACTGAACTTTTTTATCGAAACTAAAAGACTATATTAATAATATATATTTCTGTACGCAGTCGCGCAACTACGTCATTGTGTGTTCACATTGCATAATCTGATCGACGATAAGACTCTTGTACGCACGCTCATCATAAATCACACACCAATCCACCATTAATTACCGCTGCGAGAAATCAACAGCTATTTAGAAGAAAACAAAGAAACAAAAAAAAAAATCTATCACGATTTTAGCATTAAAAGTCTATCAGCTCTTCAATGTCAACGTCCGACGCGCAATTATTGCAAAAAAAACGACAGCTTACCATTGTGCATTTCTACGATTTTGCCCTGACGTTTTTCGAATCCTTCTCGACGCTCATCGACGTCTCAACGTGATTCTCATTATAAAACTGTTACTACTACTACACTTTTACCACTACTATTAAACTAGTACGATTACTAAATATCCACCAGTTACCACTACTGCAATTGTCACAACGACAGTCGTTAAAACTCGTTACCGTAAAACAAAAAAAAAATAAAGAAAAATAATGCAAAAAAAAAAATGATAAAAAAATAAATAGAAAAAACTTAAAATAATAGAACGCTGAGAGCATCAGAGAGGAGCATCAAATATGTTTTATCAAGATTTTTGATTAGGAGAATATTTTTTTTTTTTGAAAATAATGGTCAATAGCCCCTCGACTTCGATATTTATAAAAAATAATTTTTTTTTTAACTAAAAAGAATTCTATTCTATTCTTTGAGTAAAGTGTCTTTAAAGGATAATCTGCTTTAAAGGAGAAGATGAGAATTAATTCTATTAGCATACCTTTTCGTTTGAGATTGACTGAGATTGAAATTCATTGATAGTAATTTCTACTAATTTTTTGTAGTAAAATTCACTAACTAAAAGGGAAACTAATTCCCTTTCAGAAAATTAAAAAAAAAACTAATTCTCTTTAAGAAAAAGGTTTACTTATTCAAATTTAGAGTTTATTTGAAAAAAATCTTTCTATTCTCTCCAGATTTGTTATAATTATTTGAATTTATAAACTAAATTTCAGTTTATTTGAATCATTCGAAGTTATCAAATTGAACTTGCATTTATAAATATATCTTGAAAAGTTAAATTATTTTTTCAAATTTAATTACTTTTTTTTAATTTAATTAAAAATATTCAAACTCAGCTATAATTTTGTTAATTTAATCACAATTTTGTTTAAACTATTTAAAAATATTTACAAAATTGAAAATAATGAATAAAAAAAAATAAATTTTTTTTTTTTTGTCGAATTAGAAGAAAAAATGTTTTTGTAGCCAAATTTTGATAGTATTTCCTTTAAAAAATTCTTTAGAAATTTTTTTATCAATTGGTTTCATAAGAAAAATTTTCACTTTCTGCGTGAAAAGTTTTCTTTAAATTAATCGTTGAATTACGCGTTGTGAACTTCAATTAAACAAGTATATAAATTTAGTTACAATTTTTCAAATTAAATTACAATTTTTTCAATTTATTTTCAATATTTTTAATTTAATTGAAAAAATGCTCAATATAATTGAAATTTTTTCGACTTAATTAAAAAAATTTGTAACATAATTGAAATTACTTAATTGAATTTCGAGTTTTTAATACAAAATGTTGACAAAATGTTTGTTTTGTCAAAACGTTCATAATTAATTAATTTATAAATTAAAAAAATTTAATTTTAATTTTGTTAATTTAATTATTGAAAATGATTGGAATTTAATTTCAATTTTGTTTTTTCAATTATTATTGTCTAAGATTTAATTTCAATTTTGACGATTCAAATAAAAATTTTCTACGTGCAATTCAATTGTTCTACTTTAATTAAAAATTAATTAAAATTTAATTTCAATTTTTTGATTCGGCTGAAAATGTTTTAAACTTAATTTCAATTTCTTTACTTAGAGTTAAAAATGTTTTATATTAAATTAAATCATTTTTAACTTTGTTTACAATTTTTTTTATTTAATGTCAATTTTCTGAATTGAATTGAAAATATTTTACATTTAATTTTAGTTTTCTGAATTTAATTTAGAAATATTTGAAATTAAATTTCAATTTTCCGAAATTAATTGAAAATATTTTACATTTAATTTTAGTTTTCTGAATTTAATTTAGAAATATTTGAAATTAAATTTCAATTTTCCGAAATGAATTGAAAATATTTTACATTCAATTTTAATTTTCTGAATTGAATTAAAAATATTTAAAATTAAATTTCAATTTTCGTAATTGTATTAAAAATATTTGAAATTAGGTTTCAATTTTCTGAATTAAATTAAAATTTATTTGAAATTTAATTTCAATTTTCTGAATTTATTTGAAAATATTTTCAATTTAATTCCAATTTCGCAAATTGGGTTAAAAATGTTTTAAATTTAATAATTTTTAATTAAATTAAATTTTTTTCTAATTTAAATGCATTAAAAAAATAATTTTAATTGGATTTTTGATAACAACAGATTGGAGAAAATAGAAAGTAAACAAATCACTGGAAATTCAAAAGCTTTTTGCAGAGAATAAAAAATTATAAAAGACAAAGTAAATAGAAACTTAGAACTTTACATAAGTAATTCCAAAGTTCAATTACAAAATTTTGTGCTTGTACTTAAAATTTAATAGTTAAATTAATCATTTTTGTTATTTTCTAAATTTTTCATCTGAAATGAAAAGGTATGCAATTTTTTTTAATATCGAGCCTATTTTAACTTTCGTTGTAAAGTTGAACATTTTTTTAAATACATTTCAAACATTTCTTATTTACTTTCAATTACAACTTTTCAACTTTTATTTATTTTCTAATAAATGAAAAAAATTAACTCTCTAATTTTTTTGAAATTTAATTAAAGTTTAATTCATAATTTCAAAAAATTAAACATTCTAATTAAATTTCTATTTCTAAGTAATAAAAATTCAATTTATGATTTAATACAATTGAAATTCAATTTATAGTCCAAAGTAATTCAAATTCAATTTGTAATTAGTAATTACAAATAATTAAAATTTAATTTATAATTCAAAATAATTGAAATTCAATTTATTATAAAAATTAATTAAAATCCAATTTATATAATAAAAAATAATTGAATTTCAATTTACTAATTTTCAAAAATTCAAAAAAAATTTAATTTCTAATTTTCAAAAATTAAATAAACATTCAATTTATAATTTTAAAAAAAGTTAACTAAATAACTTCTCAATTAAATAATTGTATAAATTAAATTAAATTTCAATTCATTTTGTAATTTTTAATATTCTACAAATTGAAAGTAAACAATACTGCAGAAATGTATCAAAAAAAAGTAAAAGAAAGAAAATATTAAAAACCTCGAGATTCTCTTTCCCTTCACCAACAATTATTACATCAAATACATTCCTACAATTCTAAAAATTTTAATTTAAAAAATAGATTAATTCACCTTCATTTCATTACAATATTAAAATGTTTCAAAAAATGAAAAGAATTATTTATTTAATTATTTAATTAGTCATTTAATTAATTATTTAATTAACTATTCAATTATTTACTTAATTATCTAGCTAACTAATGTGACTAATTAAATAATTTCTGAAAATTCATTGTATTTATAATTATATATTACATTAACAATAATTATCAATTGTTAATTTGAAAACAAAATGAAAAAAAAAATTCCAAATCCTTTTAATTTCAAAACGAGACAAATATTGACGTAATGAGAAGGAGAGGGGATTCTCGAAAAATGCGATCGGCTCAATTATTTAAGGTTCGAAGTATTTATAAGTGTAAAATATACCAGTGGCTGACGCTAGTTAAGAAAATTGTTCAATATAAATATAAATAAATATAAATATATATATTTTTTTCATATTTTTTTTTCTCAAAGTTGCTCCACGTAGATGTATGTATGTGTATACAACACCGACACCGAAACGGCATGATATTTCGTGAAACGAAATTTAAATTTTCATTTATTTCGTTACACGAGTTGAAATTTAATTTTTTTTATTGTCTTGCCTCCGTAGAATTTTATCGTAGTTATTACGAGTACGGTCAAATAATATTTAAATAAAATGGTGTGTGTGCTTGCCAACTTCCTCAGTCGAGGTTCTCGAAAAGAAAAAGAAAAAAAATTCAATATAGTACCTTGAAAAAGTGCAATTTTATTTATACAATGCATAATAACTTTATGAATAAATGATAATAATGATAATTATTATAATTGTAATTCTAATAATAATAATAATATTGCAAATAATATTAATATTGAGAAAATAATGTTAATATTGAAAATAATATTAATATTGAAAATTATTAATACTGAAAATAATATTAATATTAAAAATAATATTAATAATAATAATAATAATAATAATAATAATAATAATAATAATAATAAGAAAAAAGAAGAAGAAGAAGCTTTACTCCTTTGCACTTGATAAGTGGTGTTCAAAAATTCAGCATAATATTTAATAGCTTTATTTAACTATTTGTTTCTAATTTAATCGTTCTATTTAATTTTGTTATTTTTTTTGTTTGTTAAATTTCTTCATATTTTGTTATTTAATCTTTTAAAGTAATCGAATTAACAATTAAAACACCTAACACTTTATAATTCCATTTGTTTAATTATATAATAAAAAAAAGGAACAAAAAATTGAAAACTCGTAAATCTAAAAAACAAACAATTTGGACAAAATCAAATTTTAAACAAAAAATAAAATACTACTCTCTAGATATTTTATTTATAAAACTTGACTCACTTTCCTTTCGATAATAATGATTACAAAATTAATTATTAAATGTTTTAAACAAAGAAGTCAATAATAATTAATAAACTATCAATAACCAATAATCTAAATAAAGAAATTTTAAAGAAACAAAATTAATAATTAATAATTAATAATTAATAATTAAAAAGAAAAATTAAAAATTAGAAAATTTTAAATAAAAAAACTTAAGTTTTTAGATAAAGAAATTTATAGTTTAAGATTTTAAATAAAAATTATAAATTTCTAAACAAAAAGAATTCAAATTTTTAAAAAATAAAAATTAATAATGTAAATTTTTAACTAAAATAATAAAAATTAACAGTAAGCAATTTGATTTTCGATAGTAATAATATCTAATATTAATAACGCGGCCTTATTATTTTTCCGATGCTAATATTTTTCTATCTTTGAATAAAAAAAATAATATTTTTTAATAAAAAACAAAAAATATTTAAATTTTTAAAAAATTTCTTTTAATTAAATAAAATTAATATTAATTAATTTATTTATTACTAAGAGAAATGAATCAAATATTTCGCTATGTAAAATATCTAGAGAGTAAATATATTTTTAACGGAACAATTATAAGAAACAAAAAATTCTTGAAAAATTGATTAAAAAATTAGAATAAAAAAATTAAAAGAGGCACTCGAAAGAGGAAAACGGCCAAAGCACAACAAAAAAAAAAAAAACAAAAATCAATATTTGGAAATGTAAACAAAAAAAAAAAACCTTAGGCCTAACTAGCCCAAGGGATAAACTTGTCCATACTTATAAGACTTAACTACTGATGGATACTTCATACGGTAAATTTGTATATTATTTGTTTGATAAGAGAATGACGGCAGGGCTTTTTCGCCTGCATTCCCAGACACCTTCATTGCTCTTGTGTTCAATTAGATATTAGACAAGGTGACTTAAAAAATTATTATTATCTCGAAATATTTTTACTATTTTTCCCGATTTTTCTGTCTAAGTTGCAAAAAAAAAAAAAAAAAAATTAACAATTAAGTCGCGTTCACGTTTGTCAATTGTAATATTTATTATTATATAATGTATGTGACGCGCAATCTTTCGACGAAATTTTTTTTCTTTATCGATTTTTACTAATTTCTTTCCATCACCAATTTTTGCAATTTTCGCTAATTTTTACTCATTTTTTTTTTCGTTAGCAATTTTTTCTTCTTTCGTTAGCAATTATTGCTAATTTTTGTTTATATTATAAATATATATATAGTACATATTTGTTAAAAAAAAACTGCCTTTAGTATAATTATTGTGTTCAACTGTAGTTAACATTTTTGCTCACAATTTGTCTTCGGTT